GTATGTCTCCAGGTGCCAACTATTCAGCATGTTTTCTCCTAAAATCTGTCTCCTCCCCCGTGCTCCGTGCCTCTGGGGAAGAAGGGCATAGCCATCAGCCGGACTCTGGGTGCCAGCCTCACCTCTTCCTCACCTTTGCAGTCACGCCCACCTCCCTGGGTGAAGCGTTGCTCTGCTTCTCTTTACCCAGCTGTCCCTTCGGACTGGCTTTATCGGCACCTTCAGCCTTGATCGTGTTCACAGGGGCTTCTTCCCAGCCCTCCATGGGAGAGTCTCTGGTCGGGCGGAGTGCGATGGGCCTTCAGCCTGAGCCTCGCCTTGGTAGACAGCCTGGAGTATTGAGATTCTCCAGTTCTTTTTTTCTTTTTTTAATTTAAATTCTTTATTGTTGAAAGTATTACATGAGTCTCCTTTTGCCCCCATTGACCTCTCCCCGCCGCTCCCACCCACCAGCACATGCCCTCACCCCCCTACTGTCTGTGTCCATTGGTCATGCTCATATGCATGCTTACAAGTCCTTTGGTTGCTCTTACCCCTCATCCCCTGCCTTCCCTCATAGGTTGGACCGTCTGTTGGATGCTTCTCTGTCTCTGGTTCTATTTTTGTTCATCAGTTTATGTTGTTCATTATATTCCACAAATGAGTGAGATCGTGTGATATTTCTCTTTCTCTGACTGGCTTATTCACTTAGCATAATGCTGTCCAGGTCCATCCATGCTGCTGCTAATGGTAGGAATTCCTTCTTTTTTACAGCAGCGTAGTATCCCATTGTGTAGATGTACCTCTCCGGTTCTTTATATGAGGTATTTCCTCTATGCTTAGTAATGAATATCACCTATATTGCCACTACTGCTAAATAGGCTCTTGCTTTCAGGGAAACCATCATCTGGTTTATTTTTTATTTCTTTATTTTTTGGGTTGATTTTTTAATAGAGTTGGGAGTGTGAGCCGTTTTTCAGTATGCAAAAATAGCCCACAAGATTTCAATTTAACAATAAAATTGTCTTGACTATAAAGTATTTGTATTAATTGTAGAAATCTTAAAATTTGGAAGAATTTAAATTTTAAAAATAGTCATCTGTAATTCTACTTTCTGTCTACTGGCAGCCATTATGGATATTTGGATACATTTCAATCTCATTATGTTATATACTACATATATGAAACATATACGTAGAAGATTCAGATTCAGACTATATATGTATAGCTTTGTATTCTCCTTTTTTCTCTAAAGCATTTTCCTAGGTCATAAATTATGTTTTGAAAACATAGATTTTAAATGGTTGCATGAGTCTCAGTATATCTTTAACCGTTCTTTTTTTAGGATGTCAGAGTGATTGTATTTTTTATATAGCCGATATATAACATTGTATTGGTTTTAGGTGTACGGTGATTATATCTTTTACTCTAAGGCAGGGATGGCAAACCTATGAACTCATTTTTTTTGGTTGATTTTTCTTTGTTAAATGGCATTTAAATATATAAAATAAATATCAAAAATATAAGTCTTTGTTTTACTATAGTTGCAAATATCAAAAAATTTCTATATGTGACACGGCACCAGAGTTAAGTTAGGGTTTTTCAAAATGCTGATACGCCGAGCTCAAAAGGTTCGCCATCACTGCTCTAAGGATTAGTTCTGTGATGGCTATTTAAATTCAAGGAATTTTTTGTTCTTCAGATATGAAAAGAAAAAAATTCAGGTAGAGAAATTCCACCTGACTTTGAATAACACAAAGCAGATTTATACCTAAAAAAAGCTGACTTTTGACTGCCTGGATTAATCTGTTTTGTATGAAGTATGTTAGCCTGTGTGTTCCTGATAGTGTCCTCACTAATGTCCATGCATTGGAAATGGGGGTCTCTTTTGTATTTTCTCTCAGGTGGTTCGAGGACACTACAAAGGTCAGCAAATCGGCCAGGTGGTCCAGGTGTACAGAAAGAAATACGTCGTCTACATCGAGCGGGTGCAGCGTGAGAGGCTACCGGCACCCTGTCCACGTGGGCATTCACCCCAGCAAGGCAGGCCCGGGACTGGGCGGTGGTGGTCACACAGCGTGGTGTAGCTGTCAGAGTTGTTGACATGTTGGTGCCGTTTACACAGGTGACCCTGGCAGGGACCTCCTGGGGGAGGTCAGGAAGGCTTGATGGAGCCATTCCAGACCTCACTTCCCCACTAGATCATGTGCGGAGGAGAAGGGAGCATTTCCCGTGGCCCTCACTCACCCTGTGGGATATGATGTTCCTCCTTTGAACTCCCACTTTAGACACTGAATTGCAGGGTCTCTCCCCAGTTTCAGATCCTTAGGGCTAAATGGTCGGGCTCTTACCTTATGATCTCTGTATTGCCCAGTAGCTGGCAGGGGAATGCAGTGTTTCTTAATGCATTTGCCAGCCAGAGGCTAGACAAACCAGACGATGCTGGTCATGTAATTTTCCCAGCCCAAACGACATTCCTGTCCTAGTCCTCAGGCATTAGGGGTAGGAGGTCGGGTGGCAGAAAGAACCTAAGCTGCTGTTGTTGAGGGGACCTCTCTGTACAAACTAATCGTGGTTATAAACCCTTCACACTTAAAAAACAAAGATTTGTTTGTTTTCTCACTCCTAAAAGGCGGTTATCACCAGGCTAAAACTGGACAAAGACCGGGAAAAAATTCTTGAACGCAAAGCCAAATCTCGACAAGTTGGAAAAGAAAAAGGCAAATATAAGGAAGAACTTATTGAGAAAATTCAGGAATAAGTGTAACCTGTTGTGCAACCACGGTTTAGCTGTAGGTTTTTAGCCTGGTGTGTATTCCTTTAAAGTTGTTCAAGATGTCTCTGGAATATTTTGTTTCCTTCCTGGTTTGTTATTGATATGTGGCTCTGTGTGTCTATTGTTGCTGTTTGGGTTAATTTTATGAATAAAAATTGGAAATGTTTTTTAATTCAAGTGGATTTTGTGTTGTTTTATAGATAAAGTCCATCACACTGTCCATTCCCAGTTGCCATCCTTTCATATGTTTAGTCTGTGGAGCAGCAGAACAGCAGTGGCGGGACGGCCCTGCTCCTGCCTGGACCCTCACGCTGATGGGTGGACAGGACAGGGCTCCTGCCTGGACCCTCACACTGACGGGTGGACAGGACAGGGCTCCTGCCTGGACCCTCACGCTGACGGGTGGACAGGACAGGGCTCCTGCCTGGACCCTCACGCTGATGGGTGGACAGGACAGGGCTGCTGCCTGGACCCTCACGCTGACGGGTGGACAGGACAGGGCTCCTGCCTGGACCCTCACGCTGACGGGTGGACAGGACAGGGCTCCTGCCTGGACCCTCACGCCACGGTCCCAGTGAGCAGCTGGTGCTGTTTTGCATACCCACGTGTAGGGCGCCTGACGGTGCCCTGTAGCTCCTCTTCCTCATGCTCCCACCAAACCAAATGGCCCGCAGCTCCCTAGCCAGGCTGCCCCGCCCTAGGTGTAGGTCTTGACTTTGCAAGTGCCATTCCATGTTACTAAAATATCCTTCCTCTCTCCCAGGGCTAACTCAGAAAATAGATGGCCTGTAGGCGAGGATCAGCGCACAGATAGATGTTGTTTGCCCTGTTGCTTTTCATGATTTTTAAAAATTAATTTCCAACATTTAAAGCTTAAGAGACCCATAGAGAAACCTAGGTCTTGTGCTTCCTCTGGCCGCACGGGCCCCGGATGCTGCCCAGCATCAGCTGTGGAGCCAGGGGCTGGCTGCTCCCTTTCCAGCTCACTCCATTCATGCCCCTGAGTGCCTGGCCCCCACTGGCATCTGCGTTTCAGATTCCGCTTCTAACTTAAAGTTACTCTTCAAGATTTAGCTCCAGGGTCACGTCTGAAATCCTGCCTTTCCCCTGTGATAAATGATCTGTTTATTAAAATGCATCAGTTGAGTAGGTCAACCAGTAAGGTCTGTAGTTTGTATTTGAGATTTGTCTTTATTCTCTTTTACTTAATTAATATTTTTAATATTTTTTAATTGATTTCGGAGAAGGGAGAGAGAGAAACTTTAATGATGAGAATTATTGATTGGCTGCCTCCTGCACACCCCCCACACTGGGGACCGAGCCCACAATCCGGGCCTGTGCCCTGATTGGGAATTGAACCGTGACCTCCTGGTTCATTGGTCGATGCTCAACCACCAAGCCACACCGGCCGGGCTGCCTTTATTCTCTACCAACGTGTTGTAGAACCCCAAAAGTTGCATGAAAATCATATTTCATACTAGATAGGTTTAAGGATGACATTTTTCTTTTTTTAATTGATTTTAGAGAGAAAGAGGGAAGGGAGAGAAACATTGATTTGTTGTTCCACTTACTTATGCATTCACTGAGTCTTGTATGTGCCCTGACTAGGGATCAAGCTCATAACCTTGGCCTATCAGAATGACGCTCTAACCAACTGAGCTACCCGGCTCGGGCATGACAACGTATTCTGATGCCTGATCCGAGCCCTAGGCTGCAGCAATACTGATAAAATTATTTTTTCTAGTACTCAGACTTGGCTTGTTTTCAGCAACTTGTTCAATACCAGTGATATCGATAAGAGCTTGAGAGCTTATTTCTTGAGATACTACACGTAAAGCACAGAGTTGAGCAAACTTTAGCTATTGTCTTTTAAAGGAGAATGGAAGTGGGTTTGTTTGCAGGTGCAGAGGGAAAAGTTTTTCTCAAGGAAGTTCAGACAAATGCTGGTTCTTGAGTGAAGGGGCGGGTGTGAGGGGAGCGGTATCGGGTTTTGGCTGCAGGAAGGGGGACTGGAGAATGCCAGCTGGGTGGGCCTGCCTGTCAAGGTTCCGGCCCTGGGCTATTGGCATGTTTTCTGGAATGACTGGATTCAGCAGTTTCCTACTGACCTTCTCATCAGATTTGCACATGTCCCTTCACTTGAGTGAGTCCCCTTGTGCTATTTTGGGAAGACTCCAAACTTTGAAACTTCAGACAGACGCTCCTGAATGCCTGCTTTCATACTGCGCTCAGGCACGAGATGTTCAGCCACAGAGCTGCCCGTGGGAGCCGGGGAGGCACTGACTGAATCCTCTGACGACCAGACAGACAGAACTCTACTGATCGAGAGTCCACCGGGCTCTGCCGATGCTGCAGACGTCGAGCTGTTCTTACCTGGTGGTAGCTTGGGCCGTTGTTCATTGTTCTTTTAGATTAGTTGTGTGTTTTTTTAAAGAATACTTATATATGGTACAACATCAAAAGGTACAAAAGGCATACAGTGAAAAGTAAGCTTCCTGGTCACTTTGACTCTCAGGCACTCAATGCTCCCAGGAGGAGCCACTGGGATCAAGCCCGTTTCTTTTGTATCCTCCCAGAAGTAGCCTGTGCACACACAATGGGTGTTCACTGAAAGTCTGATCCAGGAAGAAGTCTTCCGAGAAAGGGAGGCCATCCAGATTGAAACAGCCGTGTGAGGTTTATTGCCTGAACGCCTTAATTAAAAGGAAAACGTGCGGCCCTGGCCAGCGTGGCTCAGTGGATTAAAGCATCATCCTGTTCGCCAAAAGGTGGCGGTTTTGATTCCTGGTCAGGGCACATGCAGCTCTGATCCCTGGTCCAGGAGCATGTGCAGGGCTCGGGGGTAGGGGCAGCTAATCTGTATTTCTCAAATCAATTCACATCGATGTTTCTCTCTTCCTCTCACAAATATTAAATAGAATATTCTTTGTCCATTAGAAATAATAGAATCAAGCACATCCTAAATCTGGAACAGGCCTCAGAGGTCTCATCTTATGCAATAGAGGTCTCTATCTTGTTAAGAAGTCTGTACTTCAGGGGTTTTTGCTGACTTACCGTTTGAACTGGGAGAGGCCGCATGGCTTAGTGGGAAGAACAGGAGCGATGAAGGCTCACATTCAGATCCCAGTCCTGCCCCTTAAAACAGCCACCCTTTTGGGCAAGTTACAATATGAGTCTCTTTCCCCTACTATGTAAAATGGACTTAATAATCTCTGTGTTAGGTTTGTGAGCACTGAATGAGGCAGGTCATCCAAAGCACCTAGGTCAGTGGCACGTGGGTGTCACTCCCTTGGTAGATGCCGTAATCATTGGTGGCTGCCCACAGCACGTGCTCCATTCATATGCGCTGAGCAAATGAGAAGTGAAGTGTGCTGGTCATTGAGCTTCTCCTGAAACTTCGGGCCTTCCAGGTCAGCTTAGGGCAGTGATGGCAAACCCATGACACGCGTGTCAGAGATGACACACGAACTCATTTTTTTGGTTGATTTTTCTTTGTGAAATGGCATTTAAACATATAAAGTAAATATCAAAAATATAAGTCTTTGTTTTACTATGGTTGCAAACATCAAAAAATTTCTCTATGTGACACGGCACCAGAGTTAAGTTAGGGTTTTTCAAAATGCTGACACGCCGAGTTCAAAAGGTTCGCCGTCACTGGCCTAGGAGGAGCCTGATGACTCCGTGGCCTTGTGACTCCGCGGGGCTGGGCTTGGGGAAGGGGCTCCTCGGGGGTCGCCCTATAGCCTTTCGAGCAGCTCCTTTACTTTATTCCACGGTGGCTGCTTTGGAGGCTTTTCCTCTAAGAGTGGTTCTCACACTTTTGGGTCTCAACACCTATTTCCACATTTATATGGGTTCCATCAATCACATGATTTACCACATTAGAAAGTAAAACAAAACCTTGACCTTTAAATTCATTTAAAAATAATTTTTAAATGTAAGAAACCCAAAGCATGTTAACAGGACTAACATTTTTATATAAAGTAACTATCTTTTCCAAAATAAAACGAAAGTGGCGAGAAGAGTGACACGGTGTTAACGTTGTTGCAGAATTCCCTGACGTCTGACCAGCGTGCTTCTGCGTTCAATCTGCCAAAAGGTGTTCTGGGCGAAGCACAGGAAGGACATTCTGCATCACAGATTGATGGTTGGGAAGAGAGGCCCTCGGGGCGGCTGGGAGAGCCCCAGGGGCTGCCCAGGGTCCCTGGTGCACACCGCCCAGAGTGTGGTTTACTTTCTGAAGGTGACTTTAAACGCCTTGAAGGCAGACGATATTTCTGCATTCGGTGGATCACTAAATCCTAGCTGGCTTTCCCTCGTTTCCCTTTGGACAGTGTGATAAAGTGTTTTTGACAGATTCACTGGTAGAGGGAGCTATTGGCCAATACTAGACCACACATACAGTGCCGAGATTTAGAATTTTTCTCATTTCACAGATAAAACGGGCAGAACTGGTGTCTGACAGTCACTTCCCTGCGCCCCTCGACATCTGCTTCTCAAAAAGGCGGCCAAAAAGGAAGACAAAGTTACACTTAACGGGACCAACTTTTAAAAATGTTTTGCATTGATTTAAGAAACAGGAAAAAATTCGAAATAGTGAAAAAGTGAAAGCAACACAAACATCCATTGACAGGTGAGTGGAGAAACAAAGTGAGGCCTATCCATAACAGTGGAATCTGACTCATCATTGTGACCTGTGCTACAAATGGATGCCACTTCAGGACCTTGCGCTAAGTGTATTAAGCCAGATGTGTATTAAACAAATGCTGCATGATTCTACTTATACCAGGTATCTAGAGGAGTCAAACTTATAGAAACAAAAGTTAGAATAGTGGTTCCCAGGGCTTGGGGAGGGGGAATGAGGAGTTGTTTAATGGGTATGAGACGTTCTGGAGATTGTCTGCACAACAATGTGGATATACTTAACACTACTGAACTGTACACTTAAAGCTGGTTAAGCCCTAACCGGTTTGGCTCAGTGGATA